CTGCTGAACAAAACATCTAAAGCAGAAGGTTTTTCATCACCTTGAGAAGGAAAAACCCTTGAAGTTTTAAATATAAGTATCACAGCAAAGCGGTACCACAATGGGTGCTTAGAGCCTGTTTACAGTTACTGGAGACTAGACTTGTTTTCCCTGAGCTCCATGGCTGTGGGAGTAATCATAGAATCATGCATGGTTTGGGTTGGAAGGGACCTTAAAGATCATCCAGTCCCACCCCCTGCATGGGCAGGGACACCTCCCACCAGCCCAGGCTGCTCCAAGCCCCATCCAACCTGCCCTTCAACACTGCCAGGGATGGGGCAGCCACAGCTTACCTGGGCAGCCCATTCCCGCACCTTACTGCCCTCATGGTGAAGAATTTCTTCCTGATGTCTAACCTGAATCTCCCCTCTTTCAGTTTAACACCATTTTGGAAGCAGGTGAGACTTGAGGAGCCTTGTGTGCTGGACTTCAGCTCAGCATGACAGAGGCTGAGATTCAGCCAGGGCTGACACGCCTGGTGCACCAGCATCTGAACTGGTCAGAGGCACCACAACCTGTCACAGAATCACAGAATGGTTTGGGCTGGAGGAGATTTCAAGATCATCTAGTTCCAATCCCCCTGTCTTAAGAGTGCCAAGTCTCCATGGGATGGCTAAGAACAATAATAATGATAATGTTTCACATCTGTAACCTACATGTAAAGTCTGAAACAGTCCCCAGAGAAAGGGACTGAAGTGCCCTGTGCCTTCTACAGGGTGACCATTTTAGATCTCATGGAGCCTTGGACAGGGAGGAGGTCCTCCTATGTCTCTACTCATTAAAGGGACATCCAAATCTTGGAGTTCCATGCTAAGCAGTGCTTATTCCATGCCACAAGCATGTTCTGCCAACCATTCCTCCTGTTCCTCCCTCCCATGTAGGTGGGAATTGCCAACAGTTTGTGAGCAGAGTGCAGAAGGTGGAGGGCCTTGTCCAGGAGATCTGCAGCAGAACAGAAGCAACCTGGTTCTGGAGGACTGTCTCTGCAGCACTTTGTGTTAATCCAGGAGGCTGGACACACAGCATCAGGCCACTTTTCCTCAAAGAAAGAGAGATGCAAGTTACCTGTTATGATGAGATGGGGTGTCTTGCATTTTCAGAGCTGATCTGGCTACTTTGCCACCCTCACAAATCCTTCAACCTTCAACTACCAGTGTCAGAGAACCCACCAGACTGGTGGGAACATGTATATGTTGGGATGTAAAGCAGGCATTGACTTCTTCCATTGTTCCAGGTTTCTGCAAAAATGCTCTAACTAGAAACCAGCTGAGTTTTGTCAACAGAGGCTGCTAGAAACAATCTGAGAGCAATGCAGTTGGCTCTCGTGAGCACATTTTAAAAGGAGAGCCTGAGAAGTGCTGCAGAATATGAGCAGCATCTTCAGGGAGGTGAGCAAGAGGAGGTTAGGAAATTACACACCTTCCTTTTTTCCAGATCTCTCTGTTATTCAGTGAATGAGGCCAAAGCAAGACCTTCAGAGTGGCCTAGAGATGTTCCTGCTCCAAACATGAGGGACACTTTAGAGACAGTGTGGGTCACTGTCCAACTGCTTCACCCTCCTCAGAGACATCCCAGGCACCTCCTGCCACACACCAGTAGCTGCTCCTAGCAGAAAAGTGCCCCAGTCTCTTCTGCACCTGAGAAGAAATGAGCTCAGCACCATTTATACTCTGACCATTGCAGGCCACAGAAACCCACTGGGTGTGGATTTGCACATCTTCCTGCTACCAAAAACCTGAAGCAAAGCTCTGCCACACAGAAAAGGTTCAGATCTGCCAACATCCTTTGGGAGAAATGATTCCTATAAGGGAAATGTGCTGGTGAGACCAGCACTCAGCTTCCATCCCCCATTCCTTAATCCCAACCTATTGTTTCTTCTCCCTCTGAACACTGAGGTCCTTTTGAGGCAGCTCCCAAATCTCTGCTCTTGCAAAACAGCCAGTAGGCCAGTTACCAACAGTCCCAATAACAGTTGGCTGCTCTTGATCTTGGCAAGAAGATGGGAGAATTCATCCTGAGGATTTCAGCAGGGAGAGGAGAAGGATATTCTCATAAAGCAAAATGTAGATGAAGGACCACAGCTATTTCAAATATGTTAATGGCAAGTCATGCTCCTCAGGCTTACTCTGCTCAAGGGGACAGACACTAAAATAGCTCAGCTGTATCTTGCAGATGCAGTTCTGGTTATTGGTCAGAGAAGACATTACCTACTGCAGAGCCTCATGGCATTTTTTTGCAAAAAATCAAGACAGAACCTCCTCCAGACTCTAAGGCACCAGTTGCCACCTTCCCAGATCTCTCAGAGAGGCTTGTTTCCAGTCAAGGGGAATGTAGGTTAGCAACACAGGAACCACCAGGTCACATTTGACTATCTGCAGTACTAGTTAATTGGGTAAAGCAGCAACTAAAGCAACTCCAGGTAGTCCTACAACAACTTTATATCATGAGACATGAAATTATAAAGCCCAGTAACCATTAGCTCACCTCATGAGAGCAGATTTAGAGACATACTCTAATGCAGGTCAGAAATAGCCAAAGGAACACAAACACACCTTGTCACTCAGAAATGGAGTTTGGGTTTCTTTTTAAAAAGGAAAGAACAAGAGGCAACAGCCTCCAGTTGTGCAAGGGAAGTTTAGATTGTATCTTGGGAACTATTTCTTCATGGCAAGGGTTGTCAGGCCTTGGAACAGCCCAGGACAGGGGTGGAGTCCCCATCTCCGGAGGAGTTTCAAAGCCGTGTAGATGTGGTGCTGAGAGACGTGGGGCAGTGGTGGCCTGGGCAGGGCTGGGGGGATGGTTGGACTTGGTGATCTTAAAGGTCTTTTCCAACCAAAGCTATTCCATGATTCTGTGGTTACTCAGCATGCCAGTGGGCAAACTGATGAGCTGTATCAGCTCTGCTATGTGGGACCTGTGGCCAGAACTTCTCCAGCACACAAAATCCCTTTGTTCTGTGCCAGAGGTGACACTTCTAGTTTCACCCAACAACCCTAAAGCTGCCCCACACACAGGGAAGCCAAGTGCTTCCCAGTGGGCAACAAGGTGTCCGTGACAGTCAGAAACCAGGCACCAACACTCCCTGTGGCACTGAACTCCCTGGCATTCCCTGCTTCCTTACCACTTGCGCTTCATGTAGGCGGCAGCCCTGTTCCCGTAGAGCATGGCATTGTTGGGGGCCTTCTGCACTGCCTTGCTGTACAGCTGGATGGCTTGGGTCCACAGCTGGCAAGCAAAGGCCTCGTTGGCTTGCTGCTTGATTCTCTCCAGATAGGGAGGTAACTCCACCTGGGGACTAAAGGGGAAAAAGAGAAGCACAGGTAGGTCACATAGGCTAAGGCTCTGTTAACTCCAATTTGTAGAATCCCAGAATCCCAGACTCATTTGGGTTGGAAGGAGCTTAAAAGATCATCCTGATCCAACCCCCTGCATGGGCAGGGACACCTCCCAGCAGCCCAGGCTGCTCCAAGCCCCATCCAACCTGCCCTTCAACACTGCCAGGGATGGGGCAGCCACAGCTTCCCTGGGCAACCTGGGCCAGGCTCTCACCCTCACACCAAAGAATTTCCTCCTCATGTCCAACCTCAATCTCACTCTGCCAGTTTTCATCCATCCCTCCTTTCTCTCTCCCTCCCTGCCCTTCTCCCAAGTCCCTCCCCAGCTTTCCTGGAGCCCCTTCAGGCACTGGAAGGTGCTCTAAGGTCTCCCTGGAGCCTTCTCTTCTCCAGGCTGAACACCCCAACTCTCCCAGCCTGTCTCCACAGCAGAGCTGCTCCAGCTCTCAGATCACCTCCATGGCCTCCTCTGGACTCTCTCCAGGAGCTCCACGTACTTCTTATGTTGGGGGCTACAGACCTTGAATGCTTTTGTCTAGCTTAGCAAGCCCCAGAAAGCATTAGCTAATACCAAAAGTTGCAGAAAAAGGCAGAACCGTCCCTGAACCACCTGACATTTTCTTTCTGACCATCATTTGATCATTTCCATCTTTTCCCTTCTACACAGACAAACAGTCACCATTGAACAGTAGGTATTTCAAACATCTAATCCCTCAAACTTCACCAACACATCTTTGCTCTGACAGCAGAAACAACATTTCCAACCCTTTTTTAGCAATGTGCAACAGAATGCAAATTCAGAAGGAAACCAAGCATCTGAGTTCCCAAGGTCCCCTGCTCAGCGACCCAAAATTCCAGCCACATCTCTGCTGCTGTGATGGAGGGGCCACCTAGAGGAAACAAGCTGAAAACACTCAACAAAGTGACTTTGGTGGAACCTAGACTACCCATATATGGTATTAAGCAACTGTGGCTTGACTTTTAAAAATGTCTCATCAGCTGGAGGAAAAACAAGTCAGCAAGATGTGCTTCATGTCGGCTCCTGCTTGGCCCCAACTGCATTTGGCTCTTAAAGGAAGCAAGGAGCAGGAACAAGAGGAGTCTCCAGCCATTCCCAGCTCATGCAGAGGCTGCAGGATCAATGACACCAGTGTCATTGTCATCAAACCACTCTGGCTGCTCTGGCAGCAGGAGGGTGACCAAAAAAATGGCAAAGAGAAGCAAGACTCTTTAGACCTGACATCCTCTCCCTTCCAGCAGGACATGGTTCCTGTAGGCCAGGGAGTAACAACCACCCAGGACAAGTAAGATTTAGCAGCACCCAACCCTAGCAAGAGGAAGAGAAGGAGAACAAAGCTGTGGGGCTTTACTGGAGGCAGAGCTGGCCCCTTACCTCATGTGTGCTCTCCCCTCAGCCAGGCGGAAGCCGTTGCTGTGCAGGTGGATGCCATTGGACACCCCGTTGGTGGAGGTCTTGCCATTCTGCACTTCTGGTTTGGAAAATAAAAATAACACACAGCCATGCTAAGGATCAATGTTGATTTTACAAACTAAGAATCTGAAGCTTCAGGGGGTTCATTGACAGCAGAGCCCAGCCAACAGAACAGCCCCATTCAGAGGAGAAATAAAACTTCCGTGATTCCATCCCCACCTCCCAGAGCCACCTGGACTGGATTTGCCTTCTTACATTTACTCCAGAATCTCCTTCCCATCACAGCTCTAGAACAGAAAACCAGTTCCACACAGAATGAAGGAGCTGGAAACTGAACTGCCTTCAGACTGAGTCTAGGCCATAACTGGAGTACCTGAGTGATCACCTGACCTTTAAAACTGCAGAATCATGGGATGGTTTGGGTGGGAAGGGACCTTAAAGATCATCCAGTCCCACCCCCTGCATGGGCAGGGACACCTCCCACCAGCCCAGGCTGCTCCAAGCCCCATCCAACCTGCCCTTCAACACTGCCAGGGATGGGGCAGCCACAGCTTCCCTGGGCAACCTGGGCCAGGCTCTCACCACCCTCACAACCAAGAATTTCCTCCTCATGTCTAATCTAACTTTGTATTTTAGCCTTGCTCAGATAAAGAATCAGAGAGTGGAGTTGTTGAACATTTAACAGAACAAGGAGGATGAGGGGAACCACTGGAGGAATCCACTAAAGGAACTCCAGATGCTTTCTTCCTTTTGTTCTTTTCTTACCCTACCTCTCAAGGAGCTGTTAGAAGTGAGCCTCTGAAGGTAATCTGCCATTTCTATAGAAAATATTCAGCTTAATTTCTTACAAACTGCACTGGCAGCAGGAGGGTGACCAAAAAAATGGCAAAGAGAAGCAAGACTCTTTAGACCTGACATCCTCTCCCTTCCAGCAGGACATGGTTCCTGTAGGCCAGGGAGTAACAACCACCCAGGACAAGTAAGATTTAGCAGCACCCAACCCTAGCAAGAGGAAGAGAAGGAGAACAAAGCTGTGGGGCTTTACTGGAGGCAGAGCTGGCCCCTTACCTCATGTGTGCTCTCCCCTCAGCCAGGCGGAAGCCGTTGCTGTGCAGGTGGATGCCATTGGACACCCCGTTGGTGGAGGTCTTGCCATTCTGCACTTCTGGTTTGGAAAATAAAAATAACACACAGCCATGCTAAGGATCAATGTTGATTTTACAAACTAAGAATCTGAAGCTTCAGGGGGTTCATTGACAGCAGAGCCCAGCCAACAGAACAGCCCCATTCAGAGGAGAAATAAAACTTCCATGATTCCATCCCCACCTCCCAGAGCCACCTGGACTGGATTTGCCTTCTTACATTTACTCCAGAATCTCCTTCCCATCACAGCTCTAGAACAGAAAACCAGTTCCACACAGAATGAAGGAGCTGGAAACTGAACTGCCTTCAGACTGAGTCTAGGCCATAACTGGAGTACCTGAGTGATCACCTGACCTTTAAAACTGCAGAATCATGGGATGGTTTGGGTGGGAAGGGACCTTAAAGATCATCCAGTCCCACCCCCTGCATGGGCAGGGACACCTCCCACCAGCCCAGGCTGCTCCAAGCCCCATCCAACCTGCCCTTCAACACTGCCAGGGATGGGGCAGCCACAGCTTCCCTGGGCAACCTGGGCCAGGCTCTCACCACCCTCACAACCAAGAATTTCCTCCTCATGTCTAATCTAACTTTGTATTTTAGCCTTGCTCAGATAAAGAATCAGAGAGTGGAGTTGTTGAACATTTAACAGAACAAGGAGGATGAGGGGAACCACTGGAGGAATCCACTAAAGGAACTCCAGATGCTTTCTTCCTTTTGTTCTTTTCTTACCCTACCTCTCAAGGAGCTGTTAGAAGTGAGCCTCTGAAGGTAATCTGCCATTTCTATAGAAAATATTCAGCTTAATTTCTTACAAACTGCATTTATGTTGCAGCTGGGAGGGGCTCCTGAGGTCATTTCACAGGCTGGGAATCTGAGGACACTATCCAACCAGTCTGCAGAACTTCTCAGAGGTTTCAGTGTGCAGAGACATGCATGCACATGAAGTTCAGCCTTTGTACCTCTGCTGAACTTTCTGTGCCCAAGAGGGTGGAGTGTTTGCAGCAATCACACTCCTGGGAGCCTGTTCAAACACTGTCCTGCCACTGAGAGCCTGACCTCAGCAGTCACCCCGGTCTGGATCACCCACATACCTTCTAGACAGAGGAGAAAGGCAGGGCATGGATTTGCTACCAGGATGTGAGTCTTAGATTAAGGCCTAAGGCGAGCTGAGTACACAGATCAAACTCTGCCAGAGTGCTCTGAGAACAGGGAAGGGGCTGAGCAGGGAACACTCCCTGATAAGAGTCAGCCTCTGCCTGGGGAACAGTGTTCTAGCCATCCTGCAGTATCTGTGCACCAACAGGCCCTGGAAGGAACAGGGCCAGGAATAAAAAGGCTTTTGGATTTACTTACTTGTCAAATAAATGAGTTTTTGATTCAACTATCTCAGCACCAGGAGGGATATTAGTGCCAGGCCAGATTCTTAGACTAGGGAAGAGATTGTTCTGTCTCCTTCCGAATGGGTGTTCAAGGGGGTAACAGACATAGTTGACATTTTACTAATAAGTTTAAAGAAACAGAAGCAATAGAGCATTTCCACACCTGTCCACAAAGCTGAAGGGCTTGGAGTGATGGGATATGGGGGGATGGATTAAAAGTGGAAGAGGGGAGATTGAGGTTGGACATGAGGAGGAAATTCTGGGCTGTGAGGGTGGTGAGAGTCTGGCCCAGTTTGCCCAGGGAAGCTGTGGCTGCCCCATCCCTGGCAGTGTTGAAGGGCAGGTTGGATGGGGCTTGGAGCAACCTGGGCTGGTGGGAGGTGGCCCTGCCCATGCAGGGGGTTGGAACCAGATGATCTTTAAGATCCCTTCCTACTCAAACCATTCCATGATCCTACGATCCTAAGTTTTCCCCCTTAGTTGGGGGCAGGATACCAGCACCTCAACCACACCACACAGTCCATTTTATCTTTTGTGCCCAGCTCTAAGCACTCTCCTTAGCTCCTACACACACACCCAAACCTCACAGCTCCCTTCTCCCCTCCACTCACACATTTTGTCACCCTGAGAAGGGCTTTTAGAACTCGGGCTATGAATTGCGCTGCAGGAACAGCCAATGCCCTGCTTCATTTTCCCAGTTCCTGCCCACACTGAGAGTTGTGCAGCATGTGGTTTCACTCTGGCTTCCACCCACTTTGCTGACAGCCTCATACTCACCCCCTGAGCTGTGGCACTTCTTGGGGAGGAGAAAAGTGTATGGTCGCTGTTTGTATGTCAGATCAAACAAATAGACCTAAGGAATGAAGAAAGAGAATGAGGTAAAACAAGTCAGGGCAACATCCAAGTCAGAGAACTAAAACAGGGCTAGATGGGTATTTGGTTTCACATTTATATTTTGCTATTTATATATATTTATATTTTGCTATAATTCAGGGTGGTGGGGCATCTCATATAAACTATAGTAGCAACTAGAAAGGTCAGACCAGATGATCCTTGAGGTCCCTTCCAACCTGGCATTCTGTGATTCCATGATCTATGATTCTATTGCCAATTTTCAGACTGGGAATCTTGTTTATTAGATGGGTACACAGAGGATAACACCAGCTCCAGTGGTGTGTTCTGTTCCAGCAGGGGGTTCAGAAGGAATGATGTTGAGAAACAGGAGCCTTTGTCTCACTCAGGAGGTAGAAAGTCCTCTCCTCACCTCCAGAACCTAAAAAGTGACCTGACCACAAACCAACCTGCTCAAAAATCTTCAACTCCACTTAGATATTTTAACTATTCACACACTGATCATGAAGAACTCAAGCATGTGTGGCCAGAAAAGAAGGGTTACACTAAATCAAGGCAAAAAAAAAAAAAAATTCTCTCTAAAACGAAATTAGGATTTCCTGGGAAACTTGTAAAGCAGCCTGTGAAGCCCTAATTTAGAAGTGCATTGGTACAGGAACTGACAGCCCAGCTCAGCCCTACCACTCATCTACCTCAGCACCTTCTCTTCAAGAGAATAAGTGCATGTGTGAGGGAGAGACCTGTAGAGGACAACCACAGAGAAACCTGCTCATGAGCAAAGGTCCTGCTTAATCCATGCTGATTAATGCTGTCAGGAGGATTTTCTCATTTCCCTGATAGGCTTTACAAAAGATCCATGAATATCATCCAGCACTTAAAATTAAAGCAATCAATATTCCAGGTGAAGGCCTTGGCTTCTGCAAGGCCCTTATTCACTCCATTCTATTACAGAAGCAGTAAGATGTTTCAGGAATAAGTTATTAAATCTTTCCTAGGTCAGCAAAGGTCAGTTCCAGAACTCTTGTGTTTTTTTCTTTCCTCTTCCAGAGGAGCAAAAAGCAGAATGTGGTTCAAGTTTGATCAGTGGGAACATAACAAAGAAATCCTTAATACCAAGAATTGAGCCTGGATGAATCAAAAAGCAGTTTAATATCAATCATATTACACAGAGAAGTTGCTATGCATGTTTTCAAGGCTGCCCATGGTGTGTGGTGACCCAAATTGCTATGCATGTTTTCAAGGCTGCCCATGGTGGTGACCCAAACATAACTGAATGTGAAGCTTTCTGCCAAGCTTTAGCTGCCTTCTTACCTGTTCCCCTCCCATGTTGACTAAGAGCTCAGTGCCATCAGGGCTGAAGGTGACGTATGTGGCCACCAGCACCCTCAGCCTGTTGTTGTAGTCTGGAAGCTTCACTGGAAGGTGCCCTGTGGAGAGAAGAGGTCCACACAGATCAGTCTAACTAGTACCTGTTGTCCTTGTCCCACCCCAGCTGCTCCCTTTCACAAGAGGTTGTTAGGAGAGCCATGTCATGAAGTTCTTGCACCTCAGGGATTCTCCAGTTTCTGCTGCTCTTTATTGAATCCTGCCACCAGCCACCACAACCTGCAGATGTGCAGAGCTGCCTTGCCACAAGTTCTAGGTATCAATTCTGCATGGGCATCTCCACATGAAGGGAAGACTGGATGATAACTTGCCAACAAGAAAGTCTGCTGAGCTCAGCAAATCTCAGTTGTAGGGATTCCCTATGGATTTGGCTTCTGTGATTTGTGGCCATCTGCAAACAAATTCCTCCATCTTCAACTCTCTAATCAGGTTCCCTTAATAAAGCCCTCAGCACAACCAAACCAAAGCTCCTCAATATTCAGCTCACACCCAGGTTCTTCTGCTTCAGACAGCAGATGTGTTGCATGACCAATTCAGGGGACCTAAGAAATCCTCTAGTGGGTCTCATCAGAAGCACGACTGTCAGAACTAGTCTGCTGAACATGCTGGTCTAAGATACTTAAAAAAAACCCCAACAGGCATTTGGGGCAAAAAAAACCACAGAGTAAATCATGAGCACTGGAAAAGAATGTAGTTTAGATGGCCCAGATACTGCATCACTGACTCCTCATCTGCAGGATGAAGACAAGGCACTTCTGTGCCAAAAAGGTTTGGAACAGCAGCCTTGCTGGGAGCACTTCCAGGAGAAAACCTCTAGTTCCCAGGTTATCCAGTCCTTGACTTTCCAATCAAAGTGACAAAAAGACATATCTGCTAGACAAGAAGCAGCAAGGCCAGTTCAGCAACAACCACCACTGCCAAATCATGGGAAGGGGGCAGGTAACATCAGCAAGAATTCACAGAAGTGAAATAAACTGCAATTCCATGGAACACCCCAGGATCACAGAACTACTCCAAGCAGTGGTTTCTTGGTGGTGAGTAGAGCTCTGCTTCTTCAGGCATTAAGTTCAAGTCCCATCAGTCAGCCCCCCAGCCCAATACCTGCCACGTAGTACTGTGCTGCACCATCTGGGAGGGGTTTCTGGCGGTCACAGAACGTGTGCACTCCAGCTGAAGGACTCTGCTTCATGCTTTTCCTAGCCAGGAAGAAGATCAAGCTCAGAATCACAGCACCCAACTGCTGGGAGCCTGATTTACACTTCTTGTTCACACATGAGGGCAAAGCCTGGTGTCTAGACAGCCTTGCAGGCACGAGCCTGCCTCACACCACCCCAGTGCACTCACACAGATGGAAAAGGGAAACTTGCAAGCCAGCTCCAATTTGCATGAAATAAATTCTAGCCAAAAGAAATTTGGGCGTGAAATTGGGCCTGTGACTGGATGTGTCCTTTCTGCAGTGTCCAGTGGCAGGACTAGGGACAATGGGAACAAACTGGAGCACAGGAGTTTAAGTTAAACATAAGGACAGCACTTGAACAGGTTGCCCAGGGAGGTTGTAGAGTCTCCTCTGGAGACATTCCAAACCCATCTGGATTTGTTCCTGTGGGATCTGCTCTAGGGGACCTTGCTCTGGCAGGTGGGTGGGACTGAATGATCTCCAGAGGTCCCTTCCAACCCCACCACTGTGATTCTGTGTAACTGAAACGGGTTTCCCAGGGAAGCTGTGGCTGCCCCATCCCTGGCAGTGTTGAAGGGCAGGTTGGATGGGGCTTGGAGCAGCCTGGGCTGGTGAGAGGTGTCCCTGCCCATGCAGGAGGTTGGATCTACTTGATCTTTAAGGTCTCTTGAACCCAAACCATCCCATGATTCTATGACTGTGGGTGATAGCAAAGACTTGGGTAAAACCCCTCAAGGAGCCAGGCGAGCACCCATCACCATGACTCCCCCTTCCCACCAGAGCCTCTCAGCAGCTCTCGTGCTGCTCCCGTCTCCCCAGACAAGCCAGCAGCCAGTACCGGTGGTTGTGGATCATGCGGATGTCATAGAGCCTCACGAAGGGCCCACTTGCCCCCACTGCCAGGTAGTTGTTGTCCTGGGGATTGACTGTCAGGCACTTGGCCTCCACCAGCTGCCCGCAGTACTCGGTCAGGTCGATCAGCACCTCGGAGCGTTTGCTGTTCTCCCGCAGGTCGTACTGCCTGCAGAGGGAAGAGGGACTCAGGCCACTCCTGTCACTAGACATCAGGGGCAGATCTACAGAGGGGTTGGTTCTCCATGGTGGCCAAACTGAAGGTAAAGCAGCTCATTTGTGCTGCTCGGTAGTGACCTATGCTTAATTATCTGGCTTGGGCTGGAACAGCTTTCCTATGAAGACAGGCTGGGAGATCTGGGGTGTTCAGCCTGTGGAAGAGAAGGCTCCAGGGAGACCTTAGAGCAGCTTCCAGTGCTTGAACGGGCTCCAGAAAAGCTGGGGAGGGGCCTGGGACAAGGGCAGGGAGGGAGAGGACAAGGGGGATGGATTAAAAGTGGGAGGAAGAGATTGAGGTTGGACATGAGGAGGAAATTGTTGGGTGTGAGGGTGGTGAGAGCCTGGCCCAGGCTGCCCAGGGAAGCTGTGGCTGCCCCATCCCTGGCAGTGTTGAAGGGCAGGTTGGATGGGGCTTGGAGCAACCTGGGCTGGTGGGAGGTGTCCCTGCCCATGCAGAGGGGTGGATCTACATGATCTTTACAGTTTCTTCTAACTCAAACCATTCTATTTTATTATAACAACATTAACAGTCATTTGTGCCCCTGGCAGCATCTCAGCTCAATACACACCAGACCTAAACATCAGGATAACCATCAAAACCAGCTCTACAATGTGCAGAAATTTATTTAAGTCCCAAATTAAACTCCAAGCCATGATCTCACAACCGGTAGCTCATATGAAAAGTGGAACAGACTCCTCTAGTAGAGTCCCAATGACTCTGGAGGGAAACATTGCTCAGCGTTTTATCTCCTTCCCATTTGCCATGGCTGCTCTTTTCCTGGTCTCCCTTTTCAGTGGAGTAAACCAGAGGAGCTGTAGAGAATATCTATCAGAGGAGTCTACATTTTAAGATGAATCCTTCCATTTTCAGGAAAAGGAGAGATTAACTTAAGCTCTTTAGTAGAGAGGCAGCCTGTCTTCAGATCTGTGCATGGGATTGGATCCTAATCCAATTAATTTTGGGGCAGAACAACTGGAGTTCTGTACCTGATTAGCCCATCTTCTGCTGCACTCCAGAAGGTGTTGGGCCACATGGGAGCCGTGGCAATCCTCTTAACTCTGTTGGTGTGATCTCCAAACATGTGGATGGTCTCCTTGACAGTCAAGTCATGGACATGCACCTTGGAATCTGCAGCTCCCGTGATGAGGATCCGATCCCCCGAGTGCGGCAAGAACTGTGGGACACAGATTTGGCACTCAAAGTGGGGAAGTGCTGGGGCTGCTCACACACAGCAGCACTGAGCTGTTCCCAAAACAAGCTGCAGGAACATGGGATGGTCCATGTTTCTAC